GTCATAACACCCCTTTTATCTCCTCATCCGTGAAAGATACGTAGATACCGTTTGGACAGTCCGTAACATAGATAGGGGCTACTTGATTACAGCTTATTTCGGTTCTGTACTATTTTTAATTACTAAAACTAAGGCGTGCCATTGAAAACAAACGAAGAGGAATGATCAGTAAAGGAATTGTGTTGCTCCATGACAATGCTCGGCCCCATACTGCTGGTGTCACTCAATCGTTAATTCGTCAGTTTCATTGGGAGCAGTTCGATCACACGCCGTACAGCCCGGACTTGGCGCCGTCCGACTATCACTTGTTCCTGCACATGAAGCGCGAGCATGGTGGCAAGCGCTTTGGATCTGACGATGACACGAAAAATGCTATGGACTCGTGGTTATCGAAACTGGCGGGAAGTTTCTTTGACAACGGTATACAAAGAACTGGTCACCCGCTATGACAAGTGTTTGATCATTGGCAGAAACTATGTTGAAAAATATTTAAAGACATGTATTTTCATGTAAAAATGAAATTGGATTCGAAAAAATTGTTTTACTATTTTCCCCTCCAAACGGTACTTAGTTTCCGAATACCCCTCGTACCAAGCTCGATTGCAGTCCTGGCAGCAGTATATAGCACAGCACTTAAAACCGGGAATTATCCATTATCATGGAAAGGGGCCACAGTCCTTCCAATCAGTAAACAAGGCAAAAATCGTAAAGAAGTAGCGAGCTATAGGCCTCTTAACTTACTATCCTCTTTATCCAAAATATTTGAGAAACTAATATAAACAAGACTTACCAAATTCCTCATAGAAATAAGGACATTACCAGATGAACAGTTCGAGCTTAGGCAAAATTATTGTACAACTCATGAGCTTCGTAGAACCCGCCTCGTAGAACAAATTGAAAATGGTTTCCATAAACAACATACCATTGGACTGTTTTAGACGTATAAAAGACTTTCGATAAAGTTTGGCATACTGATTTACTATTCAAACTCAAAGAGCTGGGAGTACCCTTCTATTTACAGGACATTGTAAATAGTTTCATTAGAAACCGAACGTTCAGAGTAAAAATAAACTTCCACTTCCACACACTAGAACAATAAGAACAGGATTCTGCACTATCGATATGTTTATTTCAATCTTCAATGTTTATTTTTCAGACATTCCCACATTAGGAGACAACTCTTGCGCTATTCGCAAACGATACTGCAATATACACAAGGCATGCAGGTATAAATGTGGCAAAAGATAACATCGTGGTGGATTTCTCATGCTATCTAAAGTGGGCTCAACATTGGAGAATAAAAATAAACCCAACAAAAACCCAGGCCAAAACGTTTACGCTTTGTAAACCAAAGTTACCTCGCCCACTAGTATTAAATAATACTCCGGTAGCTAGCATCTGATAAACCAGTGAAATATCTTGGGGTCCACATTGATAGCAGGATAACCTGGAAAAAGCACACAGAACTAACAACCAATGCAACATATGCCAAAATATCGAAACTATCCATTAATTAACTTCCACTCGGCCTTAAATTTGGAATGCGCAATTTTAATATTTAAATCTATTATTAGGCTGTTCGGGCCCACAGCAAAGCAGTATAATATAATTTTATTTCATACGACGCAAGGCAGAACAGTTGATCTGTAAATGACACAGTGCCCGATCGTTGCGTCGATTAGATCACACCACCGAATGTTAAAACCCCCATGAAAATAAATCTCGGAATATTGTATAGTAAAATTTGAGTATAGTGTGTAAATTGTCGAGATATGTTAAAAATATAAGTATTAAATCCTGTAAATTAACTAGTAGTTACCGTTCGTTTGTTAGAGGGCAATCGAAAGTCGTGACTCAAGAGTGATGCTGAAAAGACAATTGTATTTCCGGATTTCCATGACTTCAGTATTTCTCAAAAAGCTTCCATAAAAATACCTCAGGACTCTGTACTTGTTCTAGAAGGTAGATTGGATCAAGAAAGCTCCTGCATTATCAGAGGTTTTATTTCCCAACTGTATTGAGAGACAGAATGTTACATTTGCTATTCGTCTTTTTAATGAAAGGACGATAGGCGCTTTACAATCTGTTTCTAGGTCTTCAGGTACTCGGAAGTTTCTGCAAATAATCTTGCATTGGTAGAAAATAGTAAATGTTAAAAATCCTGATATTTCTCAAGAGCGATGATAACCATTAGTATCTGTGGAGGATTCTAGTTACACTATTCTAAAGCAGTTAAGTGGATGGATGCTTTGAGCATAATGTCGACAAATCCATCAAATTCAAAAGACTTAGGCGGCTTGGATATGAAATTACAAGGCCTCAAGTGGGCCAACACCCTATTGAATTTCAGCATTACGAATGGAGGGCGCCACGAACTGGTAAGTCATTTTTAGCCACGTGTCCGGATACTTTTGGTCACATAGCGTACGTGGTTACTGCAAAACCACGCTGTACGCACAAATCAATGCAGTCGCTCGTTCTACGCTTGGGAAGGGTAGAAGACCATAAAACCATTGATAAAATGTTTTAGGAAACAAAATCAGATACTGAACTAAACTATTTTTACACAGCCAGCGTGGAAATCGCAAACGGCTTATTATAAGAGGTCTAGACGCCAACATGTCCTGCGAGGACTTGAAAGCTAACATTCAGTATGGCATTGTTTACGAAATCAAAAGAAAACTAGCGCCAAATCCTTTCGCAGATGCTGGGCTCTTTTCAGAGTTCAATCCCAAATCACTGAACCCAAAAAATCAAGCACCTTCAATACATCAAAATTCAGTTTGAGGAACCGCGAGACCGGGACAGAATCCATCTGTTTAATTGCTGAGCGTGGGCACATACGAAAAATGGATAGAGGCGTCAGGCGCGTTGTATGGGTTGTGCGCGTTACCACAACTCTTCCCAATGCCCGGTGCATGACAAAATTAACTCGAAGCCGAAATGTGCCAATTGCACAGACCAACTACCAAGAGTGCAGTTTTCTCGAAGAGCAATACGTCATAAGCAGCTAGAAAGGCCGCCCGTGAACAGCGCGCTGGCAACGCGACTGCTACCTCAACTTTCAGCCGTGCGGGTTATGAAATCAACGGGTTTCAAGTGGAAGAAATGCCAATCAAAGCGACCTGTGCTGATAGAAAGAACGGGTATTATGGATTGGAGATCCACGCACATTGGGCAGTTGAAAACATTTCAAGAAGACACCCGGGATATTATCTATGTTGATGAGATATACAGTTCCCCCCAAATATATTCGGTCACATACGTAATATTCCAAACTTAGACGATAATCACTAAATCTAAAGGCACACCGTGACATAATACTTATTCAAAAAATTCAAATATACTTTGTCTACAAACATCATTTCACCTGTTTACATGATCAGTGCCGTGTGAAAAATAAAAATAGATTGACCGTTAAATTGACGAGGCTCAAAGATATGCACCTTGTGCATTGCACAAGGGGACACAATGTGTCCCGCGCCCCCCCTCCTCTCAGCATTGCTGAGGATGACCTTCACTGAGGAGAGATGTATATCTTTGAGGATGATAGGCTCTTACTATCCCCTGAGGAGGGGGTCTTGATGTTTTCCACACACTAAAAAATTGCAACATTGTAACATGATAACCTCTAGTAACCTAAGATACTGTACTTGTTAACCTCTTGAACTACCATTCATTAACACACTTTATAGATGAATATGAAAAGAATGCATACGCAAGCGTCATCACCAGTATCATGTCAGGGACAGAGCACGACAACATTCAGTGTCCGTGTAAAAATTCAAAGTGCTTCACTACATTTCATTCTCAAAAGTGTTTCAAAGAAGATTATTGTGAACAAAGACAACACATCATCGATCTACAGAGGCAACTAGCTGAACTACAAACTCTGTAAAAAACATCTTCAACGTCACCTCCACACGTAAGCAACGACAATGAACGCTGCGAATCACCTCAATACGCCATGGTTTTAGAACCATCAAAACGAACCCGTAGTCTCAATCAACAATCGTTCACAGTGCATCCCCGACGATATGTCATAACCTACACACACAGAGTGCTACCATTAACACAACCAACTCTAGAAGCTATGGTTGCTACAATTTCAACACTGATATACGGAGGTGGTCCCAGAAGTACCCGGCCTGACCAAGAGATCGCGATAGTATTTCGAAAAATATAACTGTATTAGAAAGTAGACAATCTATGAAGCATATGATTCAAGTTTGAAGACGCTACGTTGTTTAGTATTTGTTTGGCAACAATCAATAGTGAACGTTGCGAGTGAATTTGTAAAAATGGAGAAAATTGGTCA